AAATTTTTCAGGTGCCTGGAGCTAGTTTTTGACCGACATGCTCTATTCTTCGCAGATCTCGAAAAGCTTTGATGCTTAATTACCCCTATTAATCCCGCTTATTCAAAGGTTAAATTTTTAATAAGTATGGGAACTTTCATTACGTTTTTACGACGATACCCTGCGATGATCTCGTCATTTGGTGGATCAACGATGTCTATGATTATGACGGTTCTTGGAGAGAAGCATGACAACATTGCGGTTCACAAAATGGCTCAATATGACTCCTTATGCCTTGTTTCTTGTTACTGAAATCTACTGCAATGAACACTGAAAGTTGAAAAATTTTCAAAGAAAAAATTGGAATTGTTCAACTCTTTTCAGTTTTTTGACATAATTCTGGTATTTTGGACTAGGTCTTGTCGCAAAAGAACAGAAAAAGAACTCTTGCTGTTGAGAAAGCAAAAAAGAAAAACTTACATATGACGTAATGCAATTTTTAGAGATAATTTATTTTTCCTGAAATTAGCAACTGTACCAAAGAAAGTTTTTACATATGCGAAGTTTTTTAAAGGAATAATTTATTTTAGGAGAAAGCCTCTCGTGTGTGTGTTGCATCAATTTCATTTCTGAATTTTTTCTTCATTGTCGACTCAAAATCGTGAGGCTTTGTTTCATTGTGTTTCTCTCATTTTTCATTGACAAGAAATTTACCTTAGGTTAATTGTACTAGATTTTAAACTGCTTGAAAAAGACACTGGGATCCAAGACACATTTGAATGCTGATCAGACAGCGTCCAAGCAATTTTAAGTTCAAGTACACAATCTGCATTTATATTCTCATCACAGGTATAAAAAGAAAAAAATCACACAACAGACTTCACCGAATAAAATAAGTGAAAAGTTCACGTTAAAACGAGTTTTTCACAAGCAACAATAATACCTGAACATGATGAAATCGCTGGCATTGCCACACACTAAAGCACATGTCTCCCATCAATTTTTCGCCCAGAAAATTCCACGAGGTCTTAAATTGAAGTCAAAGGTGTTTCATGTCTTGTTTGAGAACATATCAAATTTTATCTGACTGATGGATCCTGAGATAACCTCACTTTTTCAAACCCTAACTTGCTTTTCAGCGATCTCGCTGGTGTCAAGTGACTTCAAGAAGTCTTAATTTCTTATTCATAATATTCATGAATGAATTTTATTCTGCACCAAACAATCTTTTTTTTTTTTGGTCAAAAAACCGAAACTTAATCAAACTGAATGTGAGGTTTTCTTCGACAGTTTTGGCGAAGAAAAGGGCGGTCTTCCGAGTTCAAATGGTCGTCGAATTAAAAAAAAAACCTATGAATCCTTGGGTACTTGTTTTTTTTTATTGGTGACCCACGGAATTACGGAATGTTTTCCAAAATTAGCATTTAGGAGTTAAAAAACTCTTTAAGATTCCGAGAAATTATCGCTTTTACAAGTTTTTGATTTGTATACAGTATATTTCTAAATTTACAGAAGCGCAAATTATTGGTACTCGAAGCATTCTGCGGAAGACGTTTGAGCAGTAATGCGTGCAGTACTTGAGAGGAGCCACGATACTGACGTACTTTTTGCCTCTCATTCCCTTTTTGTGCAAAAAAAATGGCTGCAAAAAATTATGGAATAGGAATACGAGCGCTGCATCTGTCATGTATTTCGAAAGTACCGCGTTTTACGTCCCGAGATTCTTCTTTAAATTTCTTTTTTCTTAGCACTTATTTGTTTTATTCCTTGGACTTTCGTTAAGTGCTCGGCTTTTGCGCTGTTGGAATATTATTTTTCATGGGACGTTCTCTGCTTTAATACGGGGGAGAGAGGAAGAGAAGAATTTGGCGCAAGATTGGCTTGAGGGGGGAAAAAAGGGGGGGCAAGCAAGGTCGTGCGAATCTGCGCACTTTCGCCCCCATTCGCATTGTGTTCGAATTTCACACAATATAGGGAAGAGGTACTTGTGTGTTGCGTATTTCGGATGTGATGTAAGTTTTTATTGGACCTCTTTCTTTCTTGGTGGTTTAAAGATTTTTTTTTCGCCGTGCTTAATTTTATATATATGCGCACATTTTTAAGAAATTTTCTTTTTGGCAAGGTGTTCATGAGGAAGTGATTCTCTCATTTGAAATCCCGCGCTTGACCTTGATTTAATCCGCAATTATTCACACCGCGTCATGGAAGAAAATTAGCAGATGTATTCTTCAGGTGTGAATAAACTCCGATTGATAATTTCCTGTGCGTTGATTGAAGTTTATATGTAAACTCTGGACTGTATTCATGAATCCGTTGTGTTTTGTTCGCACATTCGTATAAAAAATTGGCTATATATATGTAGGATTTAATATTTAAAGTGTTCATGGCGTCCCCATCGGAACATAATACTTTTGGCAGCAACTAGATAATTTATCTATTCAAGTACTCTTCTGGTACTGTATTTTTGAAAGTACCGTTTGAGATTTGTTCCAGATTTTGAGAAAAAATTCGGGTGCGTTACCCAGGAATTAATTCGTTTTTGTGGAAAAATCACACAAATCGCTGCACATTTTTTTGTGAGTCCCAGTGAGTAAGCAAATTATGAAGAGGAAATCGGCAGTGCCAAATTTTCTTCTCCATGACAAAGGCTCGAGAAAGACTGAATTTACGCTAGTATAAGCACCTTTTTTCTATTTTAGAAAATTAAAATAACTAGGGGCGTTGCTTATATTTTCAGGTTTATGCAATTTCCTTAGAAATGCGTCAGTTAAACAAATGAAAAACGATTAATGACCGCAAATAATAGACCCATTTTTAATTAAGAAATTGCAAAAAAAAAAGCCCGGAGATCTCACAACTTCTAATTTTCAGTAATAAAATACTGGAATGTGTGGCTTTAATGCAGAAAAAAAAATCTTTTTCGGAGGAATTCCTCGCAAAAATTTGGCGATTGTCTTACTTCAAGGTGTCTGGTACATTAAAAATGGTATTTGAGAAGCCTATATTCTCTTTCAGTTGTTCAATTCAGTCTCACTGCCAATGTATTTGATGTGAATTTAATATATTGGCCCCTTGAAGATCTCAAAGAGTTTCATGATCGAAGCAAGTCATTTTGTCCCCTGGAAAAAAAATATGAACAAGAAAATGAGTCACGAGAAGCAGTGGCAAAATTCAGATGATTCACTATCTGATTTTCCACTTATATTTTTGTATCCTCTGCGCAGAATAATCGCGTAAATTTCAAATACAGTGGAATTTTGTAGTCAGGTGATAAACGCTTCATCTCATCAATTCGTTAATAATTAACCATTCCCACCTCATTCAATCGCCGAGTTGAATCATTTTTCGCGGCAATTCGTTTTATTTCTTGACGGAATTGCTCAATGTCCTCCGACGCGTGAAAAATGGCGTCGCGCGGAAGTAAATGCAAAAAAAAGGAGGAAAAAAATCCTCCAGCAGGTTAATAAAATCAATTAATACAGTAAAAACGAAGACAGACGTTTTTCCAGCTATGAAGGGATGATGTTATTATGATAATGGGTGCCTAATGAAGACCCTATTACGTGAGGGGAGTGAATTGAGAAAAAAGCTCCATGGGGTTTTCGTGTGAAGACGCTTCGAAATTGCGCAATTTCTCTTGTGTCAGCTGCTGAGTTTTTTGTTTTTCTTCAAGGTTTAATCCTGTATCCAACCACTAAATCATTTTATTCACGGATTTTTTGGTACTATAGAATCAATAATTCGGTTTAAAGACGCGACGCGTTTCGGACGATTCCTAGAAGAGATATATAGTTTTTCCGCGAAATGTAATCCATTTGAAAGTATTCCTTAAGGCCGTGCAAATTTTTCATGTCTAAATTTCGAGGACATTAAAGAAATTTAAACTGTGACCCAATTCGATGATACAGTATATCGCGGTATAATCTTTTCATCGCAACGAGTGGAAAAGACTTTGCACTGATTAGAATACTTTATAAGATTTAAAAAAAAGTTCGCTATTTTGTCAACAGGGCATTAACGTGAGTCTTTCAAGAGTGTCGGAAAAAAAGAATAAGAAAAGTCACTCAGTTTCCGAAAATTAAACCAAAGCTTTAAAATTTCTCTTTGACGAAAATGAACTACTTTCATTAAATATGATGGATGAAAATATTACGAAAAATAATCAGAATTTTTTAATTCTTTTTTTTACAATGCATTTACAAAAAAAGTAAAAAAAATGGCAATCGCTACGCAGGGGGGGGGGGGGGGGATTTCGTCATGAAGACTGAACTTTAATAAAAATATTTCAAAAAATACGAACTTGAATGAACCTTTTTAAAAAACAGCGAAGTTACACGACCTACTGAAAAGCGCTGGAAATTTTCCGAATGAAGTGTGTGGTGTTAAGAAAGGTAAAATTATAAATCATTTGAATATGGATGCAGCTAAATGAAGCTGATTCAAATATTTTGCAAAAATAAAGCATTTTTTATTTATTTTTTAATGAAGTAATCTGAACTTCTGAAGAGTTCTGTATTTTTTTTTGAACGAAGTCCGCGTTTAGAAAATTCAGCGAAATTTTGCTCTTTTTCTCCGAATGGAATAAAACCATTTATATAATTATATACATGATGAATAAAAAAAAACATCCTTTTCATTCCTCCGCCTGGAATTATCGCAACAGCAAAAAAAAAAAAGCCAAAAAACTCAAGATGTGTATATATTCAGAAACCAAATGGAATTCTTGGATATAGTCGATGTTGGAAACCGAGAAACAGTACTCCTCGTCTGCAGTACTTCTCACGTCGTCGTCGGGGGTAAGGAGTCGTACTTGATCTTCTTCATCATGACTTTGAATGGGTCTCTCTTGGCTTCCTTGTGAACCTGCTGCACCCACATGAGTTGCACGAGCTGAATCTTGAGTTTCTCCTCATCAAACGGGTCTTCACCGTCTGCCGCAGTCGCATCTAGGATTTCTGTCTCGGGAATTCGTTTCAACATCGCCCAAAATTATTTATGTTTATGAGATTTTTAAAATTTCAGTGCGGGACCCCGACACTCAGATGATTTGACTGAGGGACGCATGGAACTGAAAAAAATCTTTACCGGCATCTTGAAAAATTCTCAAGCTATGGACAATTTTCCAAAATTCATAGAAAATTTGTAAAATTTTGATTTTTTTTCCTACGTTTTGATATCTTATGAAGAAATTCAGCTATTCATATACAAGAAAATTAAGATGAGTCTCATGATAAAATTACTCTAATTCACAATCAAAAGGATCTATGACCAATCAAGACAGACAATGCAATACAGGGCCAAATTGAGATATACTGTAGGAGACAAGGACTATTTGAAACAGAAACTTTTTGAGACAAGGAAAATTTGCGACAGACACTTCTTGAGGTAGCAACAATTTGAGATGGAGACCTTTTGAGAAATAAACAAATTGAGACAAATACATTTTGAGAAAAAAATTACTTGATGGTGTTTCTCCCTATTATCTTATGTTTAAGGTGTGAAAATGAACACAAATTGCACTGTTTGGTGAAAATTCCATGATCTCATGGTGTTTCTCCTTTTTCTCCATGATTGCTGTCAACTGAGTTTTCCTCATCAAGGAAAAACTGAAATCTTTGAACCAACTCCTCAGATTCCTCTTCTCATTAAGATGATGTTTGTTTCAACTTGTCTGAAATTGTCCCTTGTCTCAAATTATCCCTTGTCTCAAATTGTCCTGGTCTCAAATTGTCCTGGTCTCAAATTGTCCTGGTCGCAAATTGTCCCTGTCGCAAATTGTCCCTGTCTCAAATTGTCCCTGTCTCAAATTGTCCCTGTCTCAAATTGTCCCTGTCTCAAATTGTCCCTGTCTCAAATTGTCCCTATCTCAAGTTGNCGAGAAAAAATCGCACTTTTGTTCAAATAATTGCAGCAGCTTTTGTTAGCACAGAGCCCGAATTCTTCGAGATTCGGGAATTTTCCCAGGGAATCGAAGAAGAGCAATTATTTGCGAGGACGCTGTTCTCACGAACCCGTTTGAAAGTGAGAATCACAAGATATTAAAATTGCTAATAAAAATAATTTTTGAAAATTATTGCGTATCTCTTGATTTTCTAAAGTTATTCCTCGACGTCCCGCAAATTTCATTCTCTATGATGCACAAAAACTGCAATTAAATTGCTTGCGTGAAAAAGGGAACGCTTAAATGATATTGTCAATTGACAATTTTGGCGGTTTTTTGTTTATATTGGCGAGCTGTTTTTGAATAACTCTATTTGCCACTGGAATTCTGAATCAGCTGTTTTGATATTTCCTGTGGGTCTAACATGGAAGATTACTTGGTGTTGTTGTCATTCAATTGGGACTGAATTTTAGAACACGTGAAAAAGCAGCAAATTATTTTCTTCATGCTCTTCAGCACGAGAGATTAGTCATAGTCCTTCATCTAGAAGATCTATGAATATTTCTAATCATTTGTCAAGAAAATACTTTCCATTGATTCAAATTTAAAAATGAAGCCAAATTTCCAAAATAAGTTCGAAGACAACGATTTTCGAGTCCAAATTCGAGAGGAGGAAATTTTCAACATTGCTCAGTGTTTTTATTTTTTTTGGAACCACAATAAGTTAATTCAAATTTTCTGAAAAATAATTCCGAAGGTTTTTCCTTGACATACAGTATTAAAATAAAGTATGCAATAATGGAAATATTTTTTAACATCATTCGGGCGAAACTTTGTTGATCTATGTTTCAATGTCAAAAAAATTCAACGAATTCGTACTTTACAAGAGTTGCATTGAACGTGATGTTCGAAAGTAAATCACTGAAAGGGTTGAGCAACTAACTTCATTTTTTTCAGATCATGATACAATACGATAAAAACATTTTTATTTCATTTTTTTCACTGCCTGTTACGTAAATGTCAACCGTCACGTGAAAAGAAGACACGTGTAGGAATATAACCAAGTATTTTTCTTCTCCATATACGTTGAAGTTTTAGTCTCGATATTTTTTCATGACCTCCTACAACATTTTATTACAATTTTAATGGAGATGTCAATGGAAAATATTTTCTTGAATGTTCCTTGCTAGCCTCAGTCCGAGAAGATTTATGCGGAAATTAATGGAGGTGATTTTCCGGAATTTATGCCAAGACTTGGGGAGATTTATTTCGTTCATTTAATATTTTAAAAAATATCGTGATGGATGTGTTTTTATTAGATTTTTCAGGGCCTTGGTATTCAAATTTTTTTCGCTGCTGTCAGTTAATTTGTTTCGCAAAAACTCAGCTCACAATTGGACTCGTGCGTTTTGCGTTTGCCCGCATTCTGTCAGTCATGTATTCGTACTTGATATTCAAATTTTATTTATAATTTGATGCATGACGAGGTCAGGGAAGCAAGAGGATTATACGTGCCTAAAGATGTAAATCAGGCTCTCTCCTTTATTTTCTGACGTGTAGTTGATTGTTCAGTGCCTCATCTCAATAATTTTTCGAAACTCGTCCTCTTGAATAATTGATTTCGCGTCGCCATAAAATCTGAACAAGATGCTAATGATTTCAAGGCAACATACTCATCAACAACCGTCGATGAAAACCCGGAGTTTTGAATTTTTAATTGGCGGACGACGAAAACAAAAATTGAATTTTTACAGGACCTAAAATGTCAGGTGATTCGGCAGCATGTACTTAAAAATATATATATGATCTTCTTGGCAGTCGTTATGGTTATACAGTCGAATAAGAAACTTGATTTACATTCGCAGTAAAATCCTCGCTTCCTCAACTTTCATTTGTCAAATCCATAATTCAAGTCAAGCCAGAAAATAAATCAGCCCGTAAAAATCCATCACAGTGCCATAGCTTGCCGTCCTTCAGAATATCACCTCGAACTTTATTTGAAAATTGTAATGATACAGTTCCTTTTATAGCAGGAAAAAAGACCATGTCTAGTCCGAGAAATTTGTTTGTTTCTCTTTGTGGTTCTTGCCATTTTTTCTGTCATGGAAAACTAGAAAATGGATAGGTTCGAAAGAGTGTATTGTCGAGAGTGAGTCAGTGCCAAAACTATCCGGATAAAAAAATTTATTTAAATAAATATACATTTTTTAAAAATTTATTTGTATACCTCACTTCCTTTCATTTAACTCTTTTGCTGTGGCAGGTGAGACAAGATTTTTTTGATAACTTTTATCCCAGAGTTATAAAATTTAAACATTTAAATTTACTAAATATGTTTGCGTATCTAAATATTTTTTTTATTATTGATGCGCAGACAAGTTTTTGCTTTAGATTTTCCTCCATGGATTATTTCAAGATTTTCAGACTTATATGTAACTTTTTTCATGTGCCATTTTCATGACTTGGGGTGAACCCAAGTGTGCTGATGTGGAAGTAAAATATTCTGACTGCCCATGGGTTGGAAAATAATCATTTTTAAAATGATTTTTACTGATTTTCTTCAAATTTTGTTCTGAGTATCTTTAAGGCCCCATGTGAAATTCTTAATTAGCCCTTGACCTTTGTGAGGTAAAGTTGGGATATTTTTGCAGTTTCTTCCCATATGAGCATTGCAAAAAATCGAATTTTTTGCACCAAGGCCTAATAAGTTGGGGAAATCAATTTTTTTTCTAATTCTGCAGGACATTTTGCACGAAAAAGGAAATTTTTGCTGAATGGCATTTTTTCCTGCATTCCCAACATGTGATTTTTTCAAAATGATGAGAAATTATCAAAGCAGATTTTTCCTTGCTTAAGTCTTCCCATAACCCAGGGGGCATAAATTTCAAAGACCTTGGTCAAACTAAAATGTGCCTTTATTGGGGAAGTTCACGACGAAAAAATATTTATTAGAATGAGATGAGCCATGATCATGATATTATTCTACTCTATGATGCTAATTGAATTTTATTGTGGCTATTCGGAAAGGGCCTGAAATCAATTTCGTTGCCGCCAAGAATTTTCTACGATTATATTTTTTTTTAAGATTCTACCTACCATAAAAGGCTCCAAGAGCCTCAATGCCAAAAAGTTTTGATTCCCATCTTTCTCCAATATTCTAATTTGTTTTTGTTTTGTGCATCATTTCATGAGTACTCTGTTGATTCACCTCCAAGATGAATCCTCAACCAGAATTGCGTAGCTGGGAAACCCAACCCAGCCAGGCCAAGAAATGTCAAGAATTTCCAGCTCAACTGTATCACTTCCAGGTAATCCCAGTTTGAAATTCGGGCACTGGAAAAAGTCATGGTCTTGATTGTAATGCACTTTGACCCCTTCATTCCCTGATGTTTTTGATTGTTGTGTGAAGCAACAAATGTCCAGAGCAGCTTCACAAATAGTCCTGCATGCTGTGTAACATTGTAACGTTTGCTGAAGGGATGTTTGAAGCAGTACTGAGGCCTGTTTGTAGTGAATATCTGTGCTCCACAAGTACATGGCTGCAAATGCTGTCATAGAACTGACGGGAAATCTGGTAAACCAAGAAGCTGCTTTCACTGGGATCGTCCGAGAACACCTGGGAACATTTTAAAGCCAACTGATGAGTTACTGTATTTTTTTGAAATTTTTAAAATGCCAGTACAAAATTTTAAAGTGCTTCCTCAAGCACCTATACAAACTTTACTTTGCCCCAAAAACCAAGAAATTGTTGCCACACAAAAAACGATCCCTTCATGTTTATCATCATTTTCCTCCATGGACCTCCAAATTGCCAACAAAAAAAAACTGCAGACTGGCAAAGTTCCAAAAAATATTCAGACTCAAAAAAGTGCTGTTTGTGTGACGTTAAGAAATTTCTTCTATTTTTTTGCAAAAATCAAGCGAAGAACCAATGAAGAATGTGCTTGAAAAAAGTTTTCTCAGATTAAAAAAGAAAAATAATTTATTTCAGCTGGTGAAAATTTTTCTGAAAACGTATCAGGAGAAAAGCGAACTTTTATTTTTCATCGAATGATTTTGATTTCCATTGTCTTTCTGAAATTTCAGATAAAACAAAGAGACTTCATTGCTACTTTTAACGCATTTATTATGCTGAAGAAAATTTCCTACAGACAGGCAAAAAAAATTTTTAGCATCTTGAACTTGAGAAAAATCAGTTTATTGAATTTTCCGGAGATGTTTTCCTAATTTTTCTATCAACAGAAGAACCGATTATTAAATGTTTTAAATGTAGGAGAACCATTGAAGTCCAACGGAAAATCTGATCCAGCTTGCGGACGTTCAGTTACATTAGGGAAAATTACGTCCGCATCTCGGGGCCCAAATATATTTTTCCCCCAAAAAACAAAAAGAGGGAGAATAATAAGTGAACCCACTTGTGACAAAGTTTGTAGCTTGGAAATGAGCTGTCAGGCTCAAAATTTTCTCCACAACTCGGACACGATTTTGGCAACAGTTGATGACGTTGACACCACGAAAAAATGGCGTATTTGACGGCAGAAGAATCGTAGTCTCCAGCAGATAAATTAGACAGGATGGTTCTGGAAAACTTGTCCTCTGGAATTTTCTTGTTGCCCAGTATGTTTAATGCAGAAGCCATTTCGTCGGTGTTATTGTCACCGCCGGGGTTCCGCGAATAATGTTGCTTCATCGCCTCGGCATTTGTTTCACTCATTTGGGTACTTTGTACTGACTTGGTATCTTCAGTCTGGATGAGAGGTACCGTAAAGTCGAGACACTTGTTTTACGCAGTACTTGGTCGTTCAAGCTATATTTAAACCCGTCGGCGTGAAATGTGTGAATATGTCTCCCTTTTTGTCTTCTTTATTTATGTACGAGAGACGATTGAGGAATTTTACGACGTTAATCGACGTCAACAGAAGTGACGAAAGTCGACGCGTACTTTTAATGGGAGTCAGTTGACTCGGAAAATATGACCCGAACTTTGGAAGTACTGGTTAGAGTAATTGTTGGCTCTTCTGATTTTATATTCATGGGAAAAAAAAATACTTTTGAGTCATCAGGTGTTGGTAATGCCTTGATATATTTGATTTAAGGTGCCCCGATTTTTTCGCAATTTTTTTTCTGCTGCGAAAAAAAATAGTCACGTTCATAGTCACGTTGTTTGAGCAAAAAATTGGGAATGTTGACGCGTGAAATTTTATAAATGAGCTGCAGTTCGACAATTTTCCAAACGATAAAGTCAGAAATCTCATGGGCTGATTTTTTCAAAATAATTTGAAATATTTGGCTCCATTTTGAACATAATTGCATGAACTAGCAAATACAGATTGACCTTCTCTCCACAATGATTTTCTGTACAACGATTTTCTCTGTATACCGATTTTTTTTTGGTCTCTCAAGCTTTGGATATGCTCTCTCAATGTTATAGGGCTTCTCTACAACGAAATTATCTCTACAACGAATTTTTTTGGTCCCTTGAAATTCTTTGTAGTGAGAATTCGCTTTAATTACCAATAATTTATCACTGCAGGAGAGGAAGGACAAATTTTGTTTGCGCTTTACGCTGTCGATTGTTTTTCATAATTTTTATTAATTCTGTCAAATATTTTCGAATCGATTTCGGAAAATTCTTTTTCTTCATTTTTTTAAAAATTTGTGGTCATAATTGCATGAACTAGCAGATACAGATTGACCCTCTCTCTCCACAATGATTTTCTCCACAACGATTTTCTCTGTATACCCATTTTTTTTTTTTAATCTCAGGCTTCGGATATACTCTCTCAATGTTATAGAGATGTAGAGCTTCTCTACAACGAAATTAGCTCTACAACGAATCTTTTGGTCCCTTGAATTTCGTTGTAATGAGAATTCGCTGTAACTGCCAATAATTTATTACTGCAGGAGAGGAAAAGAAAAATTTTGTTTGCGCTTTACGCTGTCGATTGTTTTTCCCAATTTTTATAAATTCTGTCAAATATTTTAAAATTGATTTCGGAAAATTGTTTTTCAATTTTTAAAAATTCTTGGTCATAAAAGAGAGGCTCTCACGGCTTCGATGTCAATTGTCTTCTGAGGATGATGATGATGATCCACTTCAGGAAAATAATTGTCTATAATTGTGCTGTAAAAAATAAAAAGGGTTTGACAATTTTTTTCATTGTTTTGTGATTAAAAAGTAACACCTGAACTCGAAGGAATTCCCGTGAG